AAGGATGTATTTTATTATTATATATTACTATTTATTATTTTTTTATTATTATATTACGAATTCCTTATTGAGTGACCGAAATATATGTAGTTAGACCATTTAAAAGCCACTTTGTGTTTTGTCTTGTTACACAATTGGGTAAGCCTCGTTTCGAGAGGCCTTTTCCCGCTTTCCCTCCCCGCGGTAATGGCTTTTCAGGTGTTTGCCTGCGCTTACAGCTATGCAAACATATTAACTGTCATGCTAATCAATCGATTGCACACCGCCAGTATTTATTGCCTCGCCGTGCCATTTGTTTACTTTGTCCGCTTTTAAACGAAGCATTTTAGCGGCTTACTAAATGTGTGCACACACGTATTTGTGTGCATTCCTTGAAAGGCAATCAAATCCGTTGCACTTGTCCCAGATTTAACTGCACTCCCCCGATTCAAATGGAAAATTCTAGATCGAGCCGCAGATACAAGGCTTATCTGGAATCGGCCATTTGCGAAGCAATCAAGAGCGAGATCAGGTTAAAGATCCTTTTTGTGCAGTTATATTTATAAATCAGAGTAGCATTTCGATTACCGATATATAGAAAGCAAATACGATAAACAATCGTTTTGACTGTGATTTTTTAATTCCAGTAATTGTGATTTGTTTTAATTAATTAATATGACGACTCGGTAATGTTTGATACATACTAGATCCAAACTGATTATTATGATTATTAGTAAATTAATTCTGGTTGTCATCTATTTGCATTCAACAAAGTTATGGAAGCTATGAGCGCTGGGATAAAATACTCATTAGAAGATGTGGAGATTACGAGTGAGTGATCGTGCTTCAATTTCATAATTGCTGGATGTTAACACAACTCAGATGCTTTCGAGTACGAATAAAACCATTTAAGGGGTTATATACCTTTTTTATTTTCAAAAAATCGAAATTTTTTTTATTGTTTTATCTTAAAGAACAACTCTTTGAGAATATTTTCCCAAATTTTCATAGAGATTAGAGCAGTAGAAAAAAAGTTACAGCGCTCCTAACCGAGCGCCTCGTAGCGGCTAGAACCGGAACTTGAAACTTTAAACGCGAATATCTCGAAATGGTGTTTCTTGAAAAATGACTTTGCGGTGATAACGATTGGCAGAAAACTACTAAGCCGATTTACTTCAAATTTTTTATTAAATGTTCGTAATCAAATTGTCTTGTGCTTGAACGATCGACTTTTCACGCAAAAATTTTTTTTCGCCGAAATGAATTTTTTAGTGAAATTTCTAGAGACCAAAAAGCTCATTTTTAGCATAAAACGTTCCCGTATGCATAAAAAAATAAAAAATTTTTAAATCGTTCGTTCAAGCACAAGATATTACTCTAAACTAATGAAATTTTTTTACTTTTATGGTTTCAATTGACCGGTTCGACCAGGAGCGTTATCACCGCAAGGCTTTAAAAAAAAGGCCTCTAAGGGAAACAGCCACCCCTTAAAAACTAATTGATATTTTTCCACGAAATTTTGCACAAACATAGTTAATAAAGTGTACTATCAAAAAATTAAAACACCCGTGTAATTAAATAATTGCTACATACCTAAAAAAAAATCCGAACTTTCCTCTTTTTTTCGACAAAGAAGGTATATAACCCCTTAAGCACCCCCATATTATGCGAAGTCACTTCGGAACCAGATCATCGCGACACCTCGCCAGTTCTTAATTATTCAAAGCCGCACCCACAATCCACAACTTGTCGAATTGCTCTGGAGGAATACTAAAAAACCTTTTACCGCTCCCGATTCCCCACCCCCTCGAAAACCCCCCGTGGGCATATTAATCAAGTGTTTATGGGGCTGCAGTTATAAAGTGCGCACTTTAATGTTAAAGTGCATTTACAATGTATCGGGCAGATCTTCTGATAACCCAAAGGGAGATAGATCGGGCAGAGTGATGTGTAGAATTATATATAGTGATATGCAAATTGAGCAGACGATTCGGATGGAGATGAAGACGAAGAAGAAGCGCGGAGGCCTTTGCCAATCCAGTTCCAATTGTCCTCCCGAGTCGTTCGCAAAATTCATTGAAGCCAATTGACGGCACAAGTACAAGTATATACAGCCGCAGATCGGTTTATTTATAGTATATAGACGAGAGGCGTTTAGCAATTGGAGGCAAAGTTGATTTGGCTGGCGTCAGCGGCCCCTGGTAATTGGGGGCGTGGCACGGGGACTACCGTTTAGAAATTTGCCCACCCCGAAATGCGATCCTCCTCCGCCGCTAATTGAGCGTTTAAGTCAGGCGCATCACTTGCTTTTATTTTCACTTTATTTATTCTGCTATTTTTATTCACCTCCACCTGAACCGGATTTGGCATCGAAAAAAATAGACGATGATGAGACCCCACCAATCAACTTGCAAAGCAAAAAAAAACTGAGAACACTGAAACCGGCTAAATGGCAATCGCTGTGGAGCGCTTTAAATACTTATTTAATTAAGATTTAATTAGAATATAGTTAAATGTAGTTGGTGGCTGCAGGGCGCAGCTTCAGCTGATGCGACATGTGTTCGAGGCGACTTAATTGAGTCGCTTTTCAATTGAAACATCCAACGACGGCATATAATAATAAACGATTTATGCGAGGCACGCGCTCATCTTGGCATAAGTAGTCTACAATCAAATCCAACCGGTTCGGCGATATCATAAACACAAAACACAATCAATATAAAAACGAAACATAAACATTTGCTTCATTCATGGGAATATTTTGAATAGACTGTAAATGTTTCCAGAGCGGAATAAATCGATTAAAGCAGATATTGACTCTAATTGATTATTCAGAAATAAATTCCAATATCACTCCTTGCAGGTTTGCGTTAATGTTAAATTATTTAATTTGACTTAAATTCAAAACAAAGCGATGGAAAAAGAAATAAGAGAAATTCGAATTCGTCGCATTTAATTTCTCCTATATTTTCTTGACTGTATACGATGCATTGCACATGTCTCATTTAAAGATAATCCACAATCCTGGTTTATTTTCTTCTGCGCTCATCCATCAAATCCAACTCAAGATAAGCTGAAGTATTACGCAATTGTTTGGCATTATCGGAGCTGTTGTCATTTTTGATTGACCCAAACAAAACACAAAGAAGTCAACCCGCGATCAAGAGCTGCCATTCTTTGAGTTTTTATTTTTGGATTTTCGATTGCCTGCGGCCATTTAAACTCAGCGGAAGTTTTTATAAGCCAAGTCCACAACGGAAGCGAACTTCGGTAAATGTTTGGTCACTCATGGCTGCCGTAGGTATTCGGTTTACTGGGAGATAACCCCTTGAGTGCCAAGATCTATTGATAGACCGCTGTTATGAGCCTTCTGTTGGGCGATTAAAAGTGTTTTGATGCGACGCTAATGAGGAAACAATTTGCTGATGCGCTGCTACGCTGCCAACTGATAAGCTGGGGAAATGGTCCACTCCAGCGATAAGGGAAACTCAAACCGGCTTGCTTGGAACAGTGCCTGCCGAAAGTCTATCCCCCTGAACCCATTTTAACTGGAGTTGCTCATCGATCGTGATCCCAAAATAAACGAAGGCACGCTTACGGGAATGTGAAAACGTGTCAGCAAACAAAATATTGTATTTAATAAATACAAGAAAGGCGCTAATTATTGTAAAAATGCTGATAAATTAAAATGTATCTGCACAGTAGCCACCTGCTACTTTTAAAATGTTAAACATTGCGAAATAGACCCGCGAGTCCAATCTAATTAGCATATCAATTTGGAGCTTCGCATCGAGACACGAAGAATGCGGTTAACTCGAAGGGGGCAGAATGCTTTGGATTGGCTCCCAGCTGATGGATATAGCATATATAGTATACGCCGATCGCCGGCAAGGTTGGACTTAGATGTGGTCGTATTTATTACGCATGTAAATGGGCTGCGTTGGCTGTTGGGCTAGGTTGGGTAATACGGCCACGTTTCTGTAATGATAGAGCCACAAAATGTTGTGGTCGCTTCGCATTTGGGTGAATGAAGCCCCAAGAGCGTCGGAAAAAACTAACTTAGTTTCTTGAACTAAGCAAGGGTTAATGGAATGGAAACGACTAGTTTATGTTTTTTTTTTTTTTTCAAAATCCGATGAATGGCTTCTGAAGTAATCAACTTTATGTATATTTATGAGAACAAGTAATGGAAATTTCTGTTGGCCAGGTATGTAAACTAGTTTTAGTAAAGATAAAATAGTTATGATTGCTTCCGTGCTGAGAGCTATGACTTTGGGATTTGTTTTGATGAAATTACATTTACTATGGGTGAATAATGCAATAGAAACATATTTTATGAGATTTTTCTCAGACTTGTTCATCACTTTACTTTTTAAATCCTTTTTCTTCACAGTTGAAACTTTCCTTGGTTCTTCACCACCGCATTTTGTTGTCCTTTACTTGATTATTCAACAATAATTCGAATGAGTTTTTCAATGCAATGAAAATGTTTGAATTTAAGATGTTCACTGAAAATGGGAGTAATATAAATTCGCCAATTCAAAGAATAAATCAATTTTCCAGCTGGAGAGTGAATTTTAAACGCTCGCTTGATAAGGATATGAGCCAATGCCGTAAATGTCAAGATCCCAATGGAAAAAACTGAGGGTGGGTGAATAAAAAAGTGCCGAAAGTACACGGAATACTTGTGTGCCGAGTGCCGCAAACAAGTGCTGATTATGTGCCAAAGAAAATTCGATTGGAAAATTCGATTTTTGATTTTCGGTGGGTGGAAGAAACAAAACTAAAAGTGTGCAACAGTGCTTAGTTTTTAAAACTACAGAGAACTTAAATACCAGCGAGCACAAACTATTTCAAATCAACAGTATAACCAAAATATAAATATACAAAAATTCAAAATTTTCACACAAGTTCCAAAAACTTTTTTCTTATGATTTGTTTTGTTTTTTTTTTTTTAAGTTTGGTGCGGACAACACAGTTAGGTTTAGGTGAAGAATTCTTATAAAAGATTTGGTCCTAACCTCGCCGCCCAACATTTCCAAGTCATGCGATGCGGCATGCGATGCCGTTTTAATGATCTTGTAGGTCTTGGCGAACGGGGCCTTTATAAGCTGTCGTAGTCACAGGAGTTAAATATCATATATCATATCGTATGGTACAGTTTTAATTAGGACGAGTCGATAGACTCAGTTTGATGGTGGGTTGTTTGTAGTTTTTGATCGATTTATTTCGATATTATTTCGATTGGAAAACAAACGCAAATCAAAGTGTAAGACACGAAAGAAAGAAGAAAAACAAGAAAAGAAGAAGAAAACGCATGTACAATACACGTGGGGGAAAATGTAAACAAGATTTACGATTATATAAGTATGTATAGAAAAATTTGGCGAAAGAATTTCATTGATTAGTAATTATTAAATCGATTTCTGAGGCATAACCTAAAGAAGCAAAAGTAACACTCGATTGTTTAAAACTCGAAAATGTCGTGGAAGAGCTCGAGAGAATCGTTGAAAAATACAGAACAATTCGAGGAGAAAACTCAGAGCAAAGAGTTAAACGATATGGAAAGATAGATAAAGAGATAGTCGCGCATGGAGACCCTCCAGGGAGGTCATCAGTAAACAATTGGGCACTCACCTCCCAGGACTCGCGGGTCAGGTCGCTGATCTCCTCGCCATCCTGGCTCCCGCCTCCGATTCCGGCCTTGGTGGTGCCGCTCTTGGTCCACTCGGTGTCCTCCTGGATCAGCTCGAAGCCACGCGCCTTGATCTGCTCTTCGTCCAGCTCACCGTACAGGTGTTTCACCCAGGTGTTTATGAAGCGATAGAGCTCATCAACGCTGCAATAAAGGTAAGGGTTAATTACGATCAGGTTTACTACCAGTCTCAATAAAAATTTAAGTCTTGTTTTTATTTTTTCCTTAACATATTAACATGGTTTTTGAGTTCAGAATTGAGAGTTATTTACCAGCAATAATCTCATTTTCTTTAGATTACATTCATTAAAGATTTGATGTTTATTAATTTTTGGTTTAATTTTATAACCGCCCTTATTACTTATTGTTTTCGAAAAACTTTTATTTGTTATTTAAAATGTTCAACCATAATTAAAAGGGTATGTAGAACCCTTACAAAATCTAAATGCTTAGAAGCAATTAAACCGTTAACTCAGTTTTAAGTGTGTAGATTCACGGTTGCCAGATTTGGCTCTTTTGAGCCAAAACTGGCTCTTTTTTTTCTCGTTGGCTCTTTGGCCCATTTTGATTGAATTTGGCTCTTTTTTGCTAATAGCGATACAAAATATTTTAAATTAAAAGACGAACTCATTTTTTAATTAATGCATTTTTTTTTTTTCAATTTTAAAAGTGATTAATGTCTGAAATCTAAAAGTGCCAGATCGAAACTAAATTGCTCCGCTGCAGCGCGCTGGTATGGTAGCTCCAAACAAGTGTACTGGTGTATATAGTGTACTGTAGTGTAAATTTGGCGTTTATTGTTGTGACTCAAAGTGATAAATTGTGCAAAATGGACAAGTAAGTAAAGAAATAATGTAGATTTGTGTATCTCAAATGCAATATAGCTAATTTATTCACAGGCAGGTTTGTTTTAACTTCAAAAAGTTTAAATAAAACCGCGTTCCAGCCGCAAGCTCATACTGAGACATTGCAGAAAAATGTTTTGTGATGTTTTTTATTACTTTCTTATGATAAAAGTTAAAAAAAATCAAAATAAATATTAAATAAAAATTTGGCTCTTTTTTATTCGAATTGGCTCATTTTTAGTCTTTTTTTGGCTCATTAAAATTTTTTGAAGTGGCAACCGTGTGTAGATTATTATTATGTAAATTATTATGTAAATTCATGAGAAAGAACCTTTTGACATGTCAAATTAGTGCAAACATTTTCTAATGCTTGTGTTTAAGTACGTTCTTACTGAACAAAACTAATCTAAAAATTTTTCAAATATTTTTTAAGTTCAAAAGGTTTTTTTGTGTCTTGAGATACTGTTAATTTACATCATTTTTAGAAACCGAAAAAAGTATAATAATTGTTACAAATTAATGTTTTTGAATTGTAAAAGACTATGGACCAGTGGTAATTTCTTTTCATGTGTTGAAGGCATAACATTCTAACACGCCATAACTCTTAACTCACCGATTCTTTGGCACACTGAACCAGTACTCAGCGCGCAACTTGTTTTTGCCGTAGGACATGACAGAGGTTGGCAGCGGAATGGCCTTGCCGATGGGCTTGCCCATGCGCAGGCGCAGATACAATGGTGGGTCGAGGCAGGCTCGCGCCGGTCGTGGGATGAGTTCTGCGGAAAGAGAGCAACGCAAGTTAGTCCATGATTCGTGGGAAAGGGGAACTTTCTTACTGTCCACACTGATAAAGAGCTCCGGCTTGTCGTCCATGGAGACCATGGAGCGGTAGTCCAGCTTGGGCGCCTGCTTGGCCTCCTTCAGCTTGGTGCTGGACGAGGTGCCCTCCGAGGAGTGCGGGCGTATGAAGGTACCGATTGAGGAACGTCTGTGGAGGCACAACAACACGGAGTTAGCATGGATCTTAAGAGACTGCAACAGGAGGAGAACGACTGCGAGCGATGATCGAAATTTACACTGGGAAATCAAGAACTCAAGAACGCAAGAATGAAGCTGATGAGACACACGAGAAACCAAAAATGGGCGAATGTGCGCGGTGAAGGTGGGAAGTTCTTTGCGATTCAACACTACAACATCAACATCAACATTGCTAGCAACAACAGAGCAAGAACAACAACGCAAGGAGTGGCGGAACACATCGAGACAGAGGTGACAGCTGTTCCAGGATCCGTCCTTACCCATAGGTCATGTGACCCTCGGAATGTGTCGAGTGCGGAGTCAATGGCGGCACAGGTGAGCCACCAGAGTCCTCGGACGGTGTTTTCGAAAACAGATTCCCGCCCAGCTCTGAAACCAGAGTGATGGGCGAGCTATGTTCATGGTAGAGTACAAATGTTGGGGGTTGTGTTTCGTTGTGTTGTGTGTCAGGTTATGTTGTGCGGTGTAGTTGTGGGTGGGTGTGGTGTGGTGTGTAACGGTATGAGCGGGAAAAGGTGGAGTATGTATGTTTAGCAAAGCAGCCGATCCGCACAAAACGAAGGTAAGCATTTGGATTTTTCGGTTTTTGTTCAGTTTTCGAAACGAAATAAACAAAATTTGTTGGCACCAATTATAGTCAGAGATCGCTGAATATAGGTTCTTTCGTTCCGGGCCTACTCACCTTGAGAATACTTTCGAAAATACACTCTGGTTGGAGTCGCCCGTGTTGGGCGCCGAGTCGGTGTCCGCCGACTTGTTCAGGCTGCCGCTGCCGACGCCTCCGGGCTGCACTGCTCCACCCTCGCCGGTCAAGCCCTCCACCCAGGTCAAGGGATACGAGAGGCGTTTCAGCATCTGCAAGGGAACGAGAATATATAAGTGAAAGAAATAACGAAATATCCGATTGCTTCGATACTGATAATGGTTTTTATCTAGTTGCAAATTCATTTTTCAAACTAAGAATGCCACTAGGAAATATGGACTTTTGGAATGGATTTTTTTAAGGATTTTAGGCGAGGCTTTCTGATTTTAAAGGTTACTTTTATGGATTATATTTATGCTTTTCGGCAAAAGAAAAGATATGCCTTCCTTAAAATAATCACTGTTTTCTAAAGTTCATTTTAGAAACATTGCATAATTACAAATGTTTATAAACTGTAGTGATTTCTATCAACTTGTTATATGAGTTTAGAATAAGCTTTTTTCATGGCTCTATCACCTAATATATTATTTAGTTAGTAGTTCTGTTACCTTGTTCTTCTTCTCCGCCTGCTTGTCGGTGGCCGCCAGTGCAGCCGCCTGGGCCTGAGCCTGCTGGGCGGCCTCGTCGTCAACGCTGAAGCTGACGCTGGAGGTCTTCTTGCGCACACCGCCCGCGCCGCCTGTGCCGGCGTCCAGGCTCTGGCCGAGGATGGTGCTCCGCGGCGGAGACTCGCTGAAGTGCGTGGGCACAATGGTCTTCGGCGGCACCCAGTCGGAGCTGAGGACGATGTCCGCGTCGCTGTAGACGGCTTTCTTTGGTATCGGCTGTACGCTGGGCACGGGCACGGACTCGCGGATGTCGATGCCCGAGTCGTAGCAGGACTGCTTGGACAGCTGCTCCAGGTGCTCCAGGTCGATGCCGGAGGGGGGCAGGGGGCCGACGGCTGAGGCGGGAGCGGCAGCAGCGGCTGCCAGCGGCTGGCTGTGCGGCACGCCGCTCACCGAGCTGTTGGCCGAGTGCGGATCCTGGACCCGGGCGCCGCTGTCCACGGTCACGTTGGACTCGTTGTCGGCCTCGTCTTCCGAGGATCTTCGGGAAGTAGACAAACAATAGCTGAGTAATATTTGGGGGCGTGGCACAGACAGAATTATGTACAAGTGGGTTTTTGGTTTTGCGGTTGTGTGGGCGTGATGTGTTTGGGGTTTGGTGTAAAGCGGTTGTTTTTGATAACACAAATTGCAAAAATGGTTGGGGTTTTGGCGTGGCGTGGTTCAAGATATGAAAATAAAAACACAAGAATACAAACAGAAAGTTATTAAAGCAATTAAAAGTGGTCTTCGGCAAGCCAAAGTCTTATCAGGAATGATTCCCCAACGATAAAGTAGTTCACCTAGTTTTATTTCAAGCAAATGAATTTAAGGAAGCTACTTGAGATAATATATTTCATTAAAACCGGACTATCGATGATATTCCAATGAAAATGCGCATTTTCCCGCATTATCAAACTAATCATATCATAAGAATTCGCAACCAGATTTAGATCTAATGAATTTCAATTAGCGAAGTTTATATTCGTTGTGATATAGAAAACAAATCGTCTTATAATGCCAAAGAATTCATTTCTTTTTTAGGTAATTAGAATTATCTCGCTTTAATGAGTATATACTTTTTTCGTGAATTTAAAAGGGTTTATGATTTGTACGGCGCAACAAGTGGACAGAGTCGAATGACCACGAAAGTTCTGATATTATTGATGGGCAACTTCGAAAGCATTTAAAACAGACCAAAAAGCCATATTTCAACTGTTCAATTACACAACAAATTCCCATTATACCGTGATGTGAGAAAGCCATTAAATATGGTTCAACAAACAAATTGCTGGGGGAACGTGTTAAACACAAAGCGTGAGGCAGCTGGGCAAACACTAACCGGTCTTTGCTCGGAATGGCCCAGTGGTGATCCAGCAGACTCTTGCGCCGCTCCTCGAGGGTGGAGCGAGTGCTGGAGAGGCCCAGGCCCGTCTTCTTGTCTTCGTCGTCTTGAGCGTCAGTCTTAGCGCTATCTTTGGCTTCCGTTGAAGAGTCCTGCAGCAAAAACAATTCGAATAAGTTTGGGTGCGAAAGGAATGCTACTTGTTTGACTCACCTCCACTCGTTCGCGGTCGAAGGCTTTCGGGAAGGCGTCGCCATCGCGTCCAGTGCTGGAGCAAAGCGACTCCTGGTCGTCGGCAATCTCCAACGATCCAATTTCAGCTGTTGGTGGAAAAACATTTAATTACTTCTGCAAATCAATCATTTAATAATTATTCCTGAGCTTCTTATCAAGATTCATTTATTTATCTGACTCAAATGTAACTTTGTCTCGCTTTATGATATTTTTATTTTATAATACATATAGTCATTTGATCTGACTGGTTTTTATAAGCTGATCAGAAAAACCATAAATGTTTGAAAAAACTAAAGAAATTTTAGAATTAAAAAAAAAAAAGGTTTAGTATTTTGAGTTCAGACCACTTAAATTTTTTACTAGATAGTTTTCTATAGAAAGCTTACCATCCAATCGGTCCTTGCCGTCCTCGCCCAACAGCGGCTGCTGCTCGGACAGCTCCTTGGAGTCCTCCTCGACTAATACTGGTTTGGGATAGTAAATCTCCGGCTTGTCCGCGTCGCCCGACCCGGAGTTGAGGCCCTGGCCTGCTCCTCCGGCCACCCGCATGTGCGCAATGTCGTGGAAGATGGCCGCGTTGACCACCAGCTCCATGGGCGCGATGACCCCGTAGCTCTCCGGGCCGTGCTCGATGACCAGGGGGTCGCTGACGTTGGGGTCGAACATGACCGCGTTGGGGGTAACCAGAAGGACGCCGCCCACCACGCCCTGTCCGTCTGTGATGTGGCGCACATTGATCTTGAGGAAGCGCTGGGTGATCACCGGGTCGTCGCTCTTGTTGGCCTCCTCCTCCGCCTGCTGCTGGCTGCTACCGCCCACGCGCTCGATGTGTCCGGGCTTCGGGGATCCGGGGCGCAGGCCCTCGAGTATGTCTGCAAGAAAGGGCATCCCGATGAGATGGTGTCTTTGGTGCCAATATATTGGACTGCTGGGAACAGCATTTAATTAATATATTGTATTGCTCGCCGAGCTTTTCGGTGGGGTTTCGCTGGACTGTGATTTTTATCAACTACACCCGTGCAAGGCGATAAGATAGTGAAAGCAAAATTGATATATGGGATAGTTTAAACTAAATCTGCGCCTTGTGACCTCCTTTGTTGTTCTAAGTGTTACGACCGCTGATGGGAACGGCATTATTTCATTGCTTCGTATAAAGGAAGGTGAGGTAAAAGCGTAACACCTCGTTTTCAGTACCTCAAAGATTATTTTACAGTGTTTCTGACGGTAAAATAACGGTAATTTACCGTCTTACCGTTTGAACCCTTAATCTTAAGTTCAATTTAAATTTTAGCAAAGTTCCTGACCTTATTAGATCATAACGGTAAAGTAATAACAATAAGAAAACCTACATTTTGTAAACAATTTTAATTTAGTGATATATAGTTTTTTCGTTTATCCTAGTTCCAACCAAATTAATGTAATTTCATTTATATGTTTTAAATGTTATATATTACAAAAAATTTATAGTTGAGTCAGCTGTCTAGATACAAATGATTAGATTCCCTAACACCAGCAACACATTGGCGATTTCCGGGGAAAAGGCCGCGAAAACGTGACCCGTGGGGAGCCGCTGCTTCCGGAAAACTTGGACCGTTCGGCGGCCCTTCAAGGCCAGTAGTTGGTCGACCGCAATTAGCACTTATTCACAGATCGGCGCAACAACAATAATAGAAAAACAAACAAGAACCTCCATTGCGCCAGAAGACAGCTGTGTGCATGCTGAAATTTCAGATCTTGAGTACGTCCCGCTGCACTGTATGTCGCGGATTATGCGGCTCTTTCTACGTGGCTTTCGGCACTCGACCACTCGATTTTATCTCCCTTTTAAAGTGCAAAACAGCGGAATAAAACACGTTCTATTCAATGGAGCAAAAAAAACATTGGCCAGTAGTTAGAGGCGGCCAAAAACCGATGAGCTATCGATAATTAGCCGAGACATCCCCTTCTTACTTAGCTCGTGCACTATTCGAGTTTCAAACCAATGCTCTACATGGCACTGTAAGGATCATAATTTTGCTAACGGAAATGTTGAATGTTTGCCGCAGCTTCAAAAATAAATTAGTTTTTATATAATTTTGTATACATTTATATTATTTGCATTTAGAAATAATTCGTGATCTTTTATTGGTTTGGAACTAGTTTTCGAAATGTAAGCTTTGAAAAAGAAGATTAGCTAACATACATATATTGTTCGTCTGACCTTTATGTTTGTTTTTTTATCAATTTCTGGGAACCACCTACATTAACTTAATAGAATGTAACATGTTCGATATATATATATCAAAATAAAAATTGAATAAATGTTTAAAAATCCACAAACATTTTTAAGTAATACGTTATCGAAAAGCGCTTCTATAACTAAATTCTTCACTTTAATGGCAAACTTACACTGGCTTGTGTAATTGTGTTATGTTTTAAGTTTTAAACAAGTGCCAACCAAAAATTATGTACATATGTAGTGAACAATTTTAAGCATACATATGTATGTACATATGTAAAAAATATTAGCCTCACAGGAATTTTTTCAGAAATAATGACACTTGGTGTACTTATTTATAGGAAAAATTGGAAAGCTCTGCCTTGGAAAAAAATGAAATGTTAAACAAATATTAAAAAAAAATTAAATATATATAAAAATTAAGTTATTACAACCTTTAAAATGAAATTTTGTGTCAAGTGTAAATCATGCGTGCTGCCGGTTGTTCTAATGTTTGTTTTGATTTTTTTCAACCTAGCGTAATGCGGCGTGCAAATGAAAATCTCAAGCGGCGACGCTGGCAAATGCTTCACTATCGTCGCACCAATGGCACCATTTCCACGGAGCGTCTCCTAGCTTACCTTTCTCGCGGCTCTCGTCGCCGGAGAGCTTGCGCTCGACCGGACTCGACTTGCCGGACAGGCTGCCTCCGTCCGGGTCGTGGGTGGAGCTGCTGGAGGCGTCGTCCTTGGCGCTCTTGTCCGGCACCAGCAGCTGCTGGCCGGGGTAGATGAAGGAGCTGTTCAGCCGGTTCAGGTGGGTCAGCTCCGAGGGTGTGGTGTCGAACCGGGCCGCCACGGAGGTCAGGGTGTCGCGATTGCCCACGGTGTAGGAAATGGTGGGTATGGTGGGCAATGAAGACTTTTGCCCTGCGGAACGAAAAGAAATCATAATTAATAACATTCGCTGCTGGCACGTGTTGCACTTCGTTACTCGTCGGGGTCCTAATTTTAGGGGGGCTCTGCTCGAAGACCTCGAATAATTCGCTGCTGGGTCGCAGGTGCGAGTATATCACACCTGTAGGCGGAACCTGCTGCCGGCACAAATAGATAACCGAAAACTCGTTGGTCGGCAGGCGCCAGTAAATCTCAACCACTTCAAACATTTTGCCCTAGACTTTTCGGGAACTGCTATCCTCCAAAATGCCGGCTCATCATTTTTTTCTCTCTGCCAATATGTCAGCATCAAGCTGTTAACTTTGGCGCGCATTTTCAAAGCCTAACATTCTGCAACCGAACAGTGCGAAAAACAAAAGTGACTGGGAAGGGAAAAGGCAAACCCAAACCAAACGGCAATGTTATCAAGTTCGCTATCCCTGTTGATACGGAAAAGGCCGATAAGAATTAGTTTGCACATAGGTAGCTTCCCTTGTTTACTACACGATAGTGATTCGGACAACGCGCAAATCAATTGCGATCTATGATAGTAAATGTTGGCAAGCTTTGTATTTATTTAACCCTTGTGTGAGCTAAGTGCTTATGTGTTTTAGATTTCATTTAAAACAAATAATATAACAGATATTATAATTTTTTTAACCGCAGAGAATTAACCGAAATTTTTTAATATAAGTTAAAAAAATTCAATAAAAAGTTAAAAAACTCTATTTGAAAATAATTTTGCATTTGCAACATAAAGTGGGCTGTTAAGCGCAACAGAGAATTCTCGTGGCAATCGATAATAAATTAGGGATGCCTTTTTACGTTTTTAATCGCCGAGTCCCCGCTTTGCAACACAAAAACACTTAAACTCTAATTGAAATCTTCGAAGCCAAACATGTAACCCATTAAGTACAAACTTATTTTAAATTAATTTAATTTGAGAAACAATTCTTAAAAATCGAAAGAAATGTATTCGTTTAAAAAATTGCTTATTATTGTTATAAAGTTTTACATAAATCGAATTGTCTTTCAATTTAAGAGAGTACATTTTGAATAAATAGTATTTTTGATATTTTGTGTAGGGTTGAGTTGCTATATTTACATGTAGAGTAATAAACTATCGACACCGGTTCGAGCGACCTCTGGCGGAAATGAATGGAACCTAAGATTACTACATGACTTATAGGGTTTGCTCATAAAAAAGATTAATTATTTATAGGCATGTATGTTCAAAAAAACTTTTAAAATAAAAACGTTAAAAATAAATAATGAATGTTTTTGATTAAATATTTTAAAAAAGCAAGTTTACCAATGCTTCATTGCAAATATTCTACTTCATTTTACTATATGCTTATAGAATAAATTTGTTTCGAAAGGAATCTTGAATATGCTAATTCATAATGTTGCCCAGCATAATACATTGTTGTAAATTCTTGTCCCACGCTATCTTCCAAGTGTTTATTGATGCCCATGGTTAAACTCTATCTTCGTTTGCAAATATCAATTCGATCTTGTATAATATCCGGTCAAAGCAAAATACAGTCGAATGTTTGTAACTATAACCCAGCATCTGGATGAAATACTCACTTGATAGTTTGTCGACGCTCTCGAAGCGCTGCTCCACTTTGGAGCGGAGCGAGTCCAAGTCGAACGGAGCCGCCAGGCCGTGATCCACGCTGCGCGATTTGCTCCTGGAAAAAGCCACAGAACGGTTGTAAAGTCGGTTGTGGATGGAGTATTTGGGCTTGTGGCGATCGGATCGCAATCTGTTGCGATCCTTATCACTTACAAATTTCCAGCTCGAATTGTGACCATAACCGGGCAATAACAATTTATTTATTGGCTGCCCGCTCGCCTTATTTATTCAGCCTTTTTGTCGGGCATTTTGCTATCGTTTTGTAAAGATTATCTTGACAATCGGCGAGTGCCCAAATAAGGAAAGGCGACGCATTTTAAACGGTTTTCTATTTGTTTTTTTCGATTAGCCTTTAAACTTGGATTGGAGAGAAGTCACGATTTTGAATGCGACTTGTCCTTAAGATGCTTGATATAATAATAGAATGCATGTTAAAGCTACAATGCAGGGGAATATAAACTTCTAATAAATATTCCTAATGTTCTAAGAGAGGAAAGGAGAATTGCAGTTTCCTAAGCTACAATTAAGAAAGTTGCAAATTAAGGAACTCATTAAATTTTGAATTTATCTATCTCTTTCTTTGCTTAAGCCCTAGAAAATACCTTGCTATCTTAACTAATTGTTTGATTGGAGCCAGTAAGCCCTGAAAAAGCATTCTATCCTGTAACTTGATTCATTTTCCCTTCGGCGCTGAGTAGAGCTCTAAGTATCGACCACAATGACGGAGTACAGCAGAGAGCCGTGTCCCTTTCGCATCATCGAGGACTGCGGAGGAGCCTTCGCCATGGGCGCCTTGGGCGGCGGAGCCTTCCAGGCGATCAAGGGATTCCGCAACGCTCCCGCCGGCCTGAAGTACCGTTTCAGTGGTGGCTTGGCGGCGGTTCGAGCGCGGTCCGGACAGGTGGGCGGGAGCTTCGCCGTCTGGGGCGCCACCTTCAGCGCCATCGACTGCACTTTGGTCTACTGCCGGCGGAAGGAGGATCCCTGGAACGCGATCATCAGTGGAGCGGCCACCGGAGGCATTCTGGCTGCTCGGACAGGTGAGTTGCTTGTATCTTTTTGCGGTATTCCATATTGATTTATATCTCTGGTGATGGATATTGATACCCTTGATTCTTGAGTTTATTGGTGGTTTTTGTGGGTTTACTCAGTTGCGTAAACAGGTCTATCTATTTAATTGATATGTATCCTATCTGAATACGCAATTCAGAGAAAGAAAACCTTCTTATAACCATTATTGTTCGTTTTAATCAATCAATCAAATCAATGCAATTTCGAATGCTTTATTCGTTTCTAAGGGAATATCCAAGTAAGCAATGGTTGAACCATTATTAATCATAACAATTATTATTTATGCTATGTTCTACAGGATTAACTTCCATGCTGAGCAGTGCCTTGGTGGGCGGGATTCTCTTGGCCCTGATTGAGGGCGTGGGCATTGCCGTGGCCCATTACTCTGCGGATTCGTACCGCCAGGTGTCGCCAGTGGAGCGGCAGGAGATCTACAAGCAGCAGCACTTGCAACAGCAGCAGGGATTTTCTCCCTTTGGCGCGGATTACGATGAGGTAAGTGATAAGATATTCCCCAGCTGAATAGCCTTTCCTAAGGTAGCACTCTTCTATTCCAGGTTAGTCCGCCGGCATTGTAGAATTCCTTGCTGCGTCATCGAGCAGTCGCTATCCACGCAATCCATCTACGATTTGTGGATCGTCGATTGCATACCAATTCAATTCGAGATTGCTTTGATTGTCCAACGACAACGCCTCCAAATCCGAGACGGCGGCATTCCGATTTCAATTTAAATTCAATTGTCGTTCACTGCGAGTTTTAGAATCATTAATATATTTTCCTTTTCGTTTCTTGTCTTGTTTTGAAGTCGGTCTGAAGTGGCGTGGCGTTTTGGGAGGCGCGTGTGCTTCCTAGCTCCTTACTTGTGATTCTATATTCATTCGCAGATGCCTCAAAAACTCAGCAAGAACGCTTCCATAGTTGGCAAGCAGGAATTGTTTCATTTTCACTTGCTCTTGTGATAAATTAGCGAACAAGGTTGCTTCTTGGTTTCTGAAGAGTATACTCATAACAGTGTTTTCCTATTTCCCTAGGCGTTAAATTCCGCATAGATTGTTGTCAGCTCAATTGTGCTCGAAGTCTTGAGAATGTTTCCCGTTCAAGTGCTATCAATATTTTCCTTGCTATGTGTATGTATGTGTGTGACATTTCCCTCACTTTTGTGGCAAAAGTAATTTCCGTTACGAGTTTGAGCGGGAAAATAAGTTTTCCTCCGCCGAGATAGTTGCATTTAAGTGACTCGCTTGAGTGAAAAAAAAAAAACATTCCCGAATTGACGGGGGAATTGTTATTGGGAACACATACATACACATACATACATACACATATGCTGCCGATCAAAAGCTATCCCCCCTCCCCCTTCCCCTACTCATAGAAAATAATAAAAGTTTATTTGCGCGTGTCTTTTCACTGCGTTGCCAATTAGCGGGCAAACGGCGATAACCATAATTGAATACCAATGATAAAAAATAAATATGCATAAATAGAGTATGTATGTGTGTGTGTGCGGGCAGAATAATTGTTCGCCGAAGTTTTCAGCTGGCAGCAGAAGGCGCATGCAAAGTGCCTTTGTTCGAAGATAAACAACGGAGAACGGAGGCAAATACTAAATAATTATTTAACGCATATTTGTCGCCCATTCGATATTTGTTTTCCCCGTTTTAATTCCAGGCGTCGCGTCGCCCGTCGGCCGTGTTTACCGCCCCATTCGCCACTGAATGGAAAGTCTCCACTTTCCATGGAAAGTCTCCGAGTGGCTGGCTGAGCAGCTGAAAAAACTGTTGGCCAATTCGCCTCTAAGGATAGGCCTACCTACTGGGAGCCTTTGCAAAAACAATACAGTCTGGGCGAAACAACTGTGTTTGGCTTTAAGTTGGCTACGTATTAGGTGCCCAAGTTAAATTGAGTTCAGCCAGCGACCTGGCAATGGAATCCCATTTGCACAGTTGGCTTTCTGCGTTCGCAATCGCGTTCGTGTTGAAATGGAAAAGTATTCTGCTTTTGTTCGGCAAGCAAACACGAATAATTGTAAATGACATAAATATTATTCTCGGAGGCTGAGTTCTATTTATTTTTCGCATTTTTCTTCTGCGGATGCCTGGAGGTCGTTCCAAGCAAGGCTAAACAATGTAGCCAATATTCGCAGTCTCATTTTAGGCGATATTCTACACACATACTAAGTGGATAAACTAGTAATTGTAATGCTAAAATCAATGATTGAGATGTCTTTTCAGCTAATGCATATTGTGTCACTAATTCTTTGCAATCAGGTGCAAAAATCGCTGTAACTAATCGTTGGCGGGTTGCTAAATGGCCAGCAGACACGCTTCCGCATAAACCAGTGTGTCCACACTGGGCCCATAGAAATAAATTAGTGTTTCCCCTGCTTTTGCCTCCCACAAACTCGCACTCAAAGTGAGTGCACTATTACGAATGGCACACAAAGCTGCCGGAATGCGGCGTGTCATAAGGAGCCGGGGGTAATGAAAAGACCCAACGGAGTCCAAGTCATTCAGGTCGATCAGTCCGATCGCCGCTCCCTATATCTGTGTATTATGTATCTTATCGCCCTCGAGAATTTGGCCCTGGGCTGCGATCAGTGGCATGGCCACCGAAAAACCAGTAGCACTGTTGTACTGGCACAATTCCACCGAGTGAGCCAAGTGTCAACAACCCACGGCACTCTTTCGGCTTCCCGGGGAGGTGCTCTTGTTTACCTTTTGCCATGGCTCAAAGCGCAGACAGTCCGAGTTGAACTCGGGCAGTGACTCAGTTTTACTACGTATACGTAATGTGCGACGCACAAGACACCAATTACTGGCGATTATAGCAGTTGTGAAATTGATAACAATATACTAAACAACACTCATGTTGATCTCTTGTTTTCCTCCTGACTCATTGCAGCTTTCTTCTTGAGGTAGTCTTCCATAATATTATTCTCATCCAACCTCACTATGAAATTTAGTCACTATCTCAATCGCTTGCTAACCAGCGGATTTTATCTCGCGACATCAATTAGACATCGGCCATTTATTTATACTTATACGCGACTTATAAATTATCAAAAATCGTTAATAAGACGACAGCGCACATTAAGATTATCTATAAATAATCTGGCGGCGAGAGTAATTTGAGCACTGGCCCGCTGGCTTTATAAATTATCAAAATTTGCTGCCTGCCGTTTTCGATTAAGTATTTTTCTCATCTTGCGAAAATAAATTATTGCCGCCATCGATTGGCTGCGTTCGACAGTAAATAAATACATAGCTGGTTATGGTCACAATTGGCTGAAAGTCAAATAGTTTATTATTTTATTATATAGAGGTGCACTACTGAGTATGGGCATGCAGTTAGGTACATCGGGCCATGCAACATGCAACATGCAACGTGCCACGGCGACACAGAGAGGCAATCAGCTGGCCATGCGGTGCAGTCAAGGCTTTTTTTTTGGATGTGGCTCATTTGCATTGAGTGGGTGGTGGGTGGGTGTGTGTGAGTGGTTTCTGTGCGGTGGGTGGGCGGTTGATCTGTGGGGTGGAATCGTTAGTTGCAACTTACCTGCGCACGGGGATCGCCAAATTGTCAACGCTGCGTGACAAACTGGAAACATCTTGACTAGCCCTACGTGACCTGGCACGTTCGCAAATCATAAGGAGCGCATCGGGGCAGGCGAACAAAACCAATTAAATGAGCAAATGTGCCAAACAAAACAGTGGATCCAAAATAAAAACAAAGGGAGAAAATAAATGGTAAATAAAATAAATAATTGCGAAATGGTTAATGCACAGTACACAGTGTACACACTCTGTCGGAAGGAAAGTGTGCACTATGCGATTATATCTCGCCCGAATCGCGCGGGTTTAACAAACGCCAGTTTGTGGAATGCACACGTAGTAAGAGGAATTCATCGGACCCCGAATCCCGCCCGACTAATTGCTAGCCACATGGATCGAAATACTGTATATACGGGTATATATCTCTGGGGAGCACGTGGGGGAGGCGACTTTGAGCTAATTGCTTCGGAATCGTCACGTCCAGAGAAAAGTGATTCGGTTGAGGTCGTGGAGAAAAAAGGGGAACGACTTGGGGGACACTTAACCCTTATGTTAGTAACCAACTTTACCGACGTCTTTTAGCAACCGGGTACCCGGGTACCCATAATTCTGAATATAAAAAATTTTGTTTATTTTATTAAAAAATTTTTTTCCAAAATATTTTTTTCTTAAAATATTAATAGTAAGTGACAATATAAGGAAAAAAAATAGTGATGACGCTAAAAAGAAACCAGAAATAATAAATTTCTATAATAAATATAAAACTGGAGTCGACACAATGGACCAAATGGTGCGGAGATACACCAGTCAACGACGATCCTCGAGATGGCCAATGGCAATGTTTTTCAATATGTTAGACATTTCTTCACTTGCGACATATATAATTTATTATAAAAATAATAAAATGATAAAAAAAAAAAACGACAGAACGTCGTCAATTTATGCGTAAGCTAAGTGAGGAATTAGAATTGCCGATGATTGAAAATCGTACCGCGAATCCACAAATAATGCGTCACTTTTCAACAAAGATTGCCATTCAAAGTATTTTAGGCCATGCATTGACAGAAACAGTCGTGGTAAATCCTGGTCCAGAGATTCCAAAAGATAAAACCGGAAGAAAAATGGTTATAGGATCTTGCTATGTCTGCAATGCTTTGCCAATAAGAAGACGGCGAAAGACACCCAAGTCTTGTGCCAATTGTCGCCAACCTGTATGAGACGAACATTCAGTAAATCGTGTCCAGTGTGTTCAATGTAATTAATTATATTGCATGCATTTATAAAAATTTTATTCACTTTATTTCCTATGCTTTCCACTGTGGGTACCCGGGTACCCGGTTGCTAATGAGGCGATGGCTGAAGTTTAAGCATAAAAAAAAATAATAAAAAAAATAATATAAATTAAATGAACTCGCAACTAGCTTTCTTTTAAGTTAAAAAACGACGATTTGAGAGCTTAAAATGAAATATTGAACTTGCTTTAAGCTTTTCACACAGATATACCGCGGGGGGTACCCGGGTACCCGGTTACTAACATAAGGGTTAAGCTAATAGCTTTTACCTGCATGTTCAGGACCCAGAACTATCTGTCTATATTACCCTTTGTGTATTTTTAACTTACATTAATAATTAAGCCTCCTTAGTCTTATAACACACCTAAATTACACTAGCTATATTTTTGGTGGAATTACTTAAAATATATTGCTAAGTATTTAAAATCTGTGATTACAAATTGTTTACATTTTCTCAAAGCTACTAGTGGGATTAACATATATGTTATTGTGTCCTACAACGAATTGGTGATACGAAGGTGAATGTACAAAAATAAATGTTGCATCACTGGTCGAATTCAAAAACAATGAAATTTTATTAATACGTGGGTTTGTAATGAAGTTAAATAATATTAAAATTTTTTAAGTAAGTTGAAAAAAAAAAATTGTCATTATCTTATTAAGATTAAAATGAAAATAGAAATAAAATCTAGAAAGATGGCACTCAACTCAAGAGTTCTTTTTTAAAATTACCATTTATTTGCAATCAGCTGATGGTATCGACATTATCTACAATTTTGGTTTTGTTCTACGCACTTGAAATATTCTTAATAGCAATGTCCAACTTGAGCTGCAAATATATATGTGCGCTTAGTTTGACAAGGGTGAACAGTTTTAAAGACCGATATGATATGGGTGCAAACGAAAATCCCAAAATTTGCGACTATTTTGGTAAAGATTGCTGGAACTCAAGGTTTTCTACACACACATGATCGAATACCGGCGAAATTTCTGATATAGACCAAGGTCAAAACATTAGACTTACTTGTATAAAAGTTTATCGAAATTTTGGGCCATTATTAAAAGTCGATGAACCGACTTAGCAGGTGTCGAAGAAATTAATAGGGGTGATTACGAAAAGCTTTGTTATATGGGTCAATGAAAAGGCGAGACAAGCTCAATAAATAAAGGGTAAGAACTTGTTAAAAAATGTTAAAGACTTAATTATCGTTCACGTGACACACATAAGCCACTTAGCAGGCGATAATTTAAAGTTAATTGATTAGATTATTTCCAACTTCTAAATATTAATAAGTTTAGGCAAAGGCTTTTTATTTGTTCCCCTCATAACGAAAGTTTTTAGTGCTTTTGTTTGTTTTCTTTAGAAATGTGATTGTTGTAGCTTAACATTGACCCAAAAAAGCCGAAAAGGCGAAACTCAATGAGCAAACAAAAGGGAATTTGGACAGAGAATTGAAGAGTAGGCGTACGTGCTTAAGATCATGTTTTTAGTACTTGATTCGTCTTCGGAATAAAGCTGACCGGAAGTTAGGCACCAGCCTGGAATATTTATGTTTATCGTACGAAAAATAGTAAGCGATTTAAGTATACATTAAAAACTTTTACAGGTTTAATGGTCCACAAATTTTTATCCCTTTTGCTTAAAATATGATAGTGTGAAAATAAAATCTACCACAAGTTTTATGATCCATAAGGTTGTATACCTTATGTTTTAAACTGTTGTATTACTTTTTTCCATCTACTTTCAATGATGATCTCACGCACCTAGCAAACATTTTATCTCGGACTCGGCTGACAAAAACGTTTGGGATCTAATCGAAAGTTTCTTGATAACCCCCATAAAGATACGAATTCGGGGGGAATATGGCAGTCTATTGGTAACCAGGCAATAACTGACACAATGACTTCTCAATTTCAATCTTTATGACCAAACTTATTCTCAAGGAATATGTTGAGTGTAGAAAGTAAGTGGGCTTACCAATAGTATTGTGAAGTAATCATAATGTTCTGCATTATATATTTAATTGATATAGTATTTGTGCACCTTTTTCATCACTCGCTAGACTGAAAAAGAAACCGTTTTAACGCCACTTCGAATGCAATTTCCTACACCCCACTCAAGGGCACAGATAATTAGGGGAAATTGATGGATGTTTTAGGGAAAGATCCGATACCGATTAACTGGCCGATCAATCATAGTCGCAGCAGCTGACAGATGAGCGAGAGAAAAAGCGAAATGTGGCTAAAACAAGCAAAGATAAATTCACTTGACAGTGTTGACTTTTAATGATTCAATTTGGCTGTCAGGCTGTAGGAGGTGGAAAATATTGATGACAAAATTAATTAGCTTGTCGGCGGAGCAAGTAAACTAGGCCCAAACTAAAGGCACTTTCATGCCCTTATCAGCTGGAAACTCAACTGAATACAAACAGCCAAATCTGAGGGCAAACTGCAGCAGTTGTCTAATGCACGTGACTGGTGTACTTGTGTATTATTTCCTACTTTGATTTCGATACAACTCTGTTTGGCCCCCGCCTTCGCCGACTTTTGATAATCGTGTTTGAACTCCCCCCAAGATCTTTCCCCTTCTCCCACCTCGTAATTAGAATTTTATGCCGCATTGTTATCTCTGTTTGCCAGGGCTTTCGGCTGCTCTGGAAAAATAAAGCGGAGGAAGTGCTGTTTGTATTTGCTCGTCGCTTGCTACCAACTTAGCGACGAAGAAAAAGGTTAATTGGATTTTCGGACACATTTCTGCTGCTGTTTGTGCTGCTTTTTGCATCACAAAATGTGTCATGTTCGAGAGCAGAAAGAAAGCCAGCACGTGATGGTTGCGTAATGGGAATAGCTTTGACTTGGGTATGACTATATAGCATGTTTTGGCATAAAGTTGTTATTTAAACATGCTAACAAAGTATACTGTAACGAAACTTAGTTGCCCGTTGAGGTTTCCAAGTTCACCACTGTCAGCCGAGCGGATACTTTTTAATAGGTGGGGGTCAGCCCATGTTATGTCAACGCCATTCAAACAACCAAGCAAGAGTTCTTAAGATTTATATTAGGTTTTTATTACCCGCTTAATTACACAAGCTTGCAGCCTGGCAGGCAACCGGAAGAAGAGAGGGAGAGAAGATCGATCAGTGTGATCGCAACTTTCCTAAACTTTTTGACAGGATTTTTACAGGTCCTAGAGTGACCGATCGTTGGCCTGTCCTAGGGTTGCCAGACGTCAGCTTTGGTACTGGTCAAGTCATTTGAAACCAATTTTCGTTGGCTTACAATACCTTTTGTTAGCCATTCTAAGCTATTTCTTAATCATCTCTTTACACTGAAACTTTCGAATGCAAGAGGGATATTCTGCTTTTGGTTACCTCAATAAAAACAATTGTCAATGAACCCCGTGAAGGTCAGTGCTTATCCAATCTGCTCTTGAATTAATCCTCCTCCGCAAGTCAGCAAAACACAAATTTGGGTTGGGGTTGGCCTTCACCCGCAGTTGGGTGAAAAGAAAGTCAAGTCTTATCGCATCGGGGCATTTGTATATGAAAAGCTGATATGTAAATATTTAAATTAGCTGGCGGCGTCTTAGTCATGCGCAGACGAGGAAATAATCGTCGCACATTTGGACTGTTTTTGGACTGGCCTTAATTGAAACGATTAATTGAATTTAATATCACTTTTGTAATGCCTCGCGGGTGTGAGTTCGACTGATTGTGGTCAGTTGCCTTTAATTTCTCGGCGCCGGCGGCGTCGTAAATGAAAACATCACCAACCAGTTTGATAC